TTGAGGTCACATCCTAATAAAAGTCATTACAGATAATCTAACTGCTCATTTTCAATCAATACTTTTACTTTTAATACTTGAGTACAAAAAATATAAGATAATTTAAGACTTTTACTGAAGTAATATTCCTAAAGTAGACTTTAACTTTTACGAAAGTAATTTTTTGTAAGATGCTTGTACTTTTACTCAAGTATAACCTTGTGGTACTTTATACAACACTGGTTTATTATAGGACAGGCTCAATCTGGCTCAATCATTTCAACAAATTACATCATTTCTAATAGTTTTTAGGTTAATCTCTATTGAAAATATTTAGAGTTTGGATATTTTTGTTTTTGGAAATAAGACATTTTATCCTTTACAAATCTGTCAAACTGCAGAGACAAGAAACATTCCTTTTACATTCTACTCAAAATTAGTCTTTAAGCTTTATTAGATACAACAAATAAAGGTAGATTTCATCTTCACCTGCAAAGTCCTGTTTTTTTAATCGCTTTCAGCTTGTTGCTGCTGCCTAACCATTTTGTAGATAATAGTTWAAAAATACAGAAAACAACATAGAAATCATATATTTCCACTGACTCCTCGTTGACCCCAGACTGAACAACTTCTCTGCGCCCAGCGCAGCTGCTGTCACCCAGCACATCCATTTTCCATCCCAGTTAGGAATCCCTCCCAGACTTTAGCTCGTCTGCCTCCATCGTCTTCGCCCTCTTTCCCCCCTGCTCAGCACCCGTTCAGATGCTGTCGCCGTTAGCCCCTCGCTCTAATTCACATGCACTTAGCATTGGTTTTGGCACACGTGTTCGCTGTCGCCACACGATGCATGACGTAAACACCTATTTGCAGTGAAACTGAATAACGCCAGCACAGTTTTGGTGGCTCCCTGCTGCTCCTCCGTTCAGGGTAGCGACGTGAGCGTGCGCAAATGTGTATGTGTGTGTGTGTGTGTGTTTGTGTGTGAGTGGAAGAGGGTGGAGTTGGGCGCCATATGCACGAAACGCATTCCCCTAAAACTTCAAGGTGAAAACAAAGGGAGGCTGATAACGATGTGAATTGTTGTGGCAGATGCCTGAGTAACACCCCCTTCCCCACCCCGCACCCTCCCTATTAACTGTACATAAAATGCCTTTGCTATGCCTCGGTGCATATTACAATAATCACTGCATTTCTTATCATGTTTCATTTGCAGTAAATCTCCATTCCTCTTCACGAAACAGCAAAGAAATGCTTGTTTTCCATTTGACTGGGGGCATTCCGGAATAATGATGGAAACGTGCTAATAATAGGCAAAGACACTTTCGTTTCCAAGGTGGTGCATTTACATTTTATTATGCGATGGTGCCGACGCTTTGATCAATACAAACACGAATGACATTTGAACAGCTGTTGTTCCGAGTGCTCTGAATTAAAAGTTTGGTTTTTGAAGAAGACATATGTCTTAAACGCCGAGCTGTGTTTTGTTGTACAAAGATTCGTCTTTAGACGCTTTTATGTCACTTTTAGAGATGAAGACCGTTTGAAATGAGACGCCGGTCAGAGACACGGTTTTAAACTGATGCTAATAAGAATTTCTATCACAATCAGCAATCAGAATGTGACAGTTCTGCTAAAACAGGACATTTCCTCTGAGTTTTACATTACCATGAATATTTTCTCATCTGGACACCTCATAGGATGACTGTTTATTCATCAGGGCATATAACGCCATTGATCGGGGGTCTAATTGAGACGCAGACGTTGGAGTGGGCCTCTGACTAATCCTCAATAAGCAGGCTAGCCTTCATTACAGCAATGGCATTTTCCCATGGGGTCCTGAGAGACAGAAAAGGGCTAGACACAGTATAGTGGATTTTTGTTTTTTTGTCAAGCTTTCCAGATCCAACTCTCATAAGGAAGTGACGAGTACAAGGTTTTCTCGCAGTCTTTGTTGCAGTTGTTTCCCATTTTGCTGGATTCATTTTGGACTGCTGCATTCATGAGAACTTCTTTTCAGCAAACTCAAAAAACAATTATGTCAACAGTAGTGGCTTTTTTTTAACTGACAAAATATCCTGCTGGCAGGTTTACTCATGTTCCTCCTGTTTTTCTTTTTTTTTTTTTTTTTTACGTTTGTTTGTTTTAAATGCATTCCAGTTTGAGCAGCCGAATGAACCGGTTAAACCCATATGTTTTTTTTAATATGCGTTGGGGTAAAACCAACGGCAGCATCTCGGAATTTGACAACTGGCTCAAGCAGGTTTCTCTCGTTTCATCCTGGATGGAGTAGTTTCCTTAGAAAATTCCTCTCTTTGAAGGATGAACGGCATAAACAGGAGAAGTTTGGCTCCATGACATCAACCATCAGCATCTGGCTCCACCAACAAACCTTGACTTCAGGGATGGTTTTGTAGAGCATGAGCTCTGACTAAAAGCAGTTTGATTCTTATTGGTTTTTTACCTGACGTAAGCTCAGCACAGCTCTGTCC